ATTATTAAAAATGAGGCCCCTTAAATTTCGAGGACTAAGACACATGTCTTTTTTTTAACACTATCGAGCCGCCCCTCCGTATAAATATTAAAATATATTATAATTTTTTTATATTCCTTAGAAGTAAAAGTAGCAAGATTATTACAACGTATAAATATTAAAATATATTAGATTTTTTTTTTTGTATTCCTTAAAAGTTTTACCATGATATAAAGTCAGAAGTACTTTTGTAAAAACTAGTGGTAAAAACTTCTAGTGGTAAAATTTTTATTCATTTAGCAACAATCCTTACCCACACAATCAAAGGTCAATTTTTGCTTGGCTCACAAAAACTATTGCACTTCTAATTACCTTTTGAGAGGCCATAGTTTTAGTATATTATTAGGATACACAAATATCCATTAAATGATAATATATACTTTGTTTCGTATAGAGTATTTGAAAGTAAATAAATACACACGTCTTTGTCTTACAAATCTTATTTAAATTTGATTTAATTAGACTATTAAATTAAGAAGATACCAATAAAATTTAGGAATAATCAACAAGATCTTTTTTATTTTAGAATGGTAAACATCGAATTAGTGTAATTGATAAAGATAAAACTAATAAATATTATTTTTTTTAAAAAAAAAAATCATTGAAATGTTCTTAAACTTTCTACAAAAATTCAAATTTTAAAATAGTTTTACCAAAAAACTATATAATAAAAACAAACTAAAAGTACATTATAGAATAAAATATTCAAGAATCTCAATTCTCTGAACTTTTACTTTATCGAATAAAATTCAATTTCCACCTTATAAATTTATTAACCAAACTAAAAAAATTCATAAATTATATAAGAATGACCATTTAATTTCTCATTTATTTATTTTTTGGCTATAATTTCTCAAAATTAGTTTTTCGAGGGAACAATTCCTTAACTACCTTTTATACCTTAACCTATTTGTCTTCTCTTCTCATTTTTTTGTTTTTTTGGTTATACTCTGTTCTTACCGAAAAAAAAAATCACCAGTTTTTTTCAGTTTCTTGGCCATGAAATCCAAAATCAAACAAGATTTTATTGATGAAAATCAAGAAATAATTGAAATTCAGAGGAGAATAATAGTAAAAATCTCAGACCCAGATGCTACAGAATCATCTTCAGATGATGAAAAACAGCAAAAAAGACCAAAGATTATTGTTCATGAGATTGTTCAGAAAAAGGTAAAGATTCAATCTTTTTTACTAAATAGTAAAAACCCATTACATTTTTATCAGTTGCCTCCTCCTAGGGTTCGAAAAAGAAAGTATCAGAAAAAGGCTATTTCTGCAAAATCTGGAAATCCGCCATTAATGGTGGAATCTCAGAACTTGGATTCAACGAAGGTAAAGACTCGTTTTTCACTAAAAAACAGAAACTTTTTGAGTTTTGATGAATCTTCTGGTAAATTGCCTCCTATGGTTCGAAAGAGAAAATCTGGAAAATTTGCTACTGAGATTAGAGACCCATTTAGCAAGAAAAGAATTTGGTTGGGTACTTTTAATACTCCTGAAGAAGCTTCTGAGGTTTATCAATCTAAGAAACTTGAGTTTCAGGAGAAGTTGGAAAAGGCTAAAAATGCAAATGTGGATAAGGTTATTTCTGCAAAATTTGAACTTGGGGCTTCTTCTTCGAGTGATCCGCCATTAATGGCTGATTCTCAAAACACAGATTCATCAGATGAGTCTGATGATAGATTGAAGAAGGCTAAAAATGCAAAAGAGAAAATGGTTATTTCTGCAAAATTTGAACTTGGTTCTTCTTCTTCGAGTGATCCGCCATTAATGGATGATTCTCAAAACACAGATTCATCAAATGAGTCAGATGATATATTGAAGAAGGCTAAAAATGCAAAAGATAAAATGGCTATTTCTGCAAACTCTGAACCTGGTTCTTCTTCAAGTGAGGCTATATTAATGGTGGATGAGATTGATGAGCAATTGAATAAGGCTATAAATGCAAATGTGGAAAAGGGTATTTCTGCAAAATCTGAACTTGGTTCTTCTTCTAGTGATCAAGTGGATGCACAAACCTCGGATTCATCGAATGGGGTTGAAGAAAGTGATGAAGAAATGTGGATGGGGCAGTGGATACAAATTTCAGGTGATAAAGAAGTTAAATTTTCGCATAAATTGGGCGTTCCTGTTGTTGACAATTACGGTTTTTTGTTAGGTGAATTTAGTAAATTGGATGATCTTAGTATTTCTGCTTGAGATAACTATAGTTCCATAAATACTATGTTCGGAACTTGCAGCAATTTTAGGTGATTAGGTCCAATTTGTGAATATTAACCGTGGCAATTGCAAGTCGACGAATAAGTGTTCATGTGTTATGGAATTTGTTGTAATGGTTATATAACTTTGAATGCAGCAATGGAAATTTGTTCGTCAAATAGAAATTTGAGTTCTTGAATCTTTGTTTGTAGAATATGTTATTATTATGATCTCTCTTCTTTTTGATGAAATCTTCCATCTGTTCGATCCTTTCCTACTTTGTTCAAATTAAATGTATAGATACTTGATATGTGTTTGCTATGTTGCTCGGACACTCCAAAATGCACTACTTTTGTTGGGCTTGATGGATGATGTCTCGGGGTCGTCTGTCGGGACTTGATGTAATGTGAACTGTGTTGATGAGATGGAGTCTCGATTTGTGTGTCGAGAAGAATCAATTGGACGTTACAAGTCTAAAGTTGGGCATTGAGGTATGTAACGGCTGAAACTCATCTTTGGCATTAAGGCATGACTTCCTACCACGTGTTTCCTCTATACGAGTCTATAAGCTCCCATGTCACGAAACAATATGTGATATTTTTGAATAGTTTCCTACCATTTGTTTCCTCTAGACGAGTCTATAAGCTCCCATCTCATGAAAGGACTTGTGACATTTTTGAATAGTCTGAGCAACATAGTGTGTTTGTATGTATTTTTTGGTTGAAACTTGGGTGGGTTGAGGGGTGGGGGTGTTTAGTTGGTCTCATGAGAAGATCTAATCTTGACACAAATACTCACTATGTACAGAGAGAGTCGAAATGGACTGAATTGGCATGGCCTAAGTTGCGCGGACTCTTCACTTTTGATGCTGCACCCGTGTCAGATTCTCCAAAAATACACTACTTTTGGCGAATCCGACACACACCTCTTGACATTTTTGAAGAGTTCGAGCAACATAGGGCATGGCAACCAAAACAGTAATCTAAACTAGCAACTATTACATCAGCTACTACTATGTCCTACTCTTCATAGAAATGTGTTCTTGCACAATTTTCCTTGTGTTGGAGTTTCTGTGTAGCTCGGAATATCCTTCGGTTTTTTTCAATTGATATGTGGTATACATAGCTTCTGTCAAACACATTCTGTAAATTGTTCCTACTGGGCTTTTGTCCCCTTAGCATTTGCATATGCCCCAATGAAGCTCTTCTTGCCCCATGTCATTGTTTGTCTGTCGATTCCTTGCCAGTATAGGATCCTATTCAAGATAACGCCAAGATGGTCAATAGTTTCACTCTCCCTATTGCATTTCACTATTTCAGATCCGTTTTGGTGAGCCTGGATTGTTACTAATGATCCTACTCCATTGGACTTAGTTGAAAACACCTCTAAGTGAGACATACATCTTCTTGATGTTGATTATATCACTTTCCTGATAGCCAGTAGCTTGTAGTTGTTGTTTGGTTATCACACCTATATAACTATATGCTCCATTTAATATAATAAATGAATAATTCTTTAAACGTTTAAATATATCTAAGACAATTTAGTGAAAATTGATTTTATTGTATTATGTTTTTTGTTAAAATTTAAATCTAGTTGAAACTCATCTCTAACTTTTCTTATTGTATCAAAAGGTTCTGGTGTAGTCTTTTCGAACTGCACATAAAATTGTGAAGAGTTCTACATGCGATAAGTGTTTCCTTACGCGTAACTAGTTCCAAAGGTAATGTATCAGCTTGAACTTCATCATCAACATTGTTTTTTCGATGATATCCACAATTTCTTCTAAGTTTTGAATCTCTGAACATGTATCATTTTTATCCGGGTAATCCAATAAACTATTGACATCCATATTATTGCGGTAAGCGAGATCATTGGGTTCATGAATAAATTTATTTATGTGAATTCAATAAATATGATACATAAATTAATAAAATATAATAATTTTGATGTAATTAAAGTTAACCTTCATTGAATCAAAATACTCTTTAAATTAATAAATATTTTTTTATTGATGAAATAATACCTCTATAAAAAAAATATATATTTCATGATCCCATTTATATTAATTTAGTGAGATTTTATTCTACATATATTGAAAATCATTTAAAGCTCCAAGATACTATTTTAACTACATCATAATAGCCATTAGAAAACTTGAAAGATTCTCTTAACATATAATTTATACTTAATTATGAAGGGCCATGTTTTAAATGATTTTCCCTTCTTGTTTTATGTATATTCACGATTCAAATACAAATTAATCAAGAAGTCAAAATAATAGATGCTTATTATAGAAATTTATTTATAATCAATTAAAAAAAAATTATACAACGGTGAATAATACAGAAACACATGAGATAAAAATATATACACGTCAAAATTAATTGGGTATCATTTACCAAATTAGGAAATTTTTTTAATATTCAATGTCAAATTAGGGATATTAATAAATAATAAATGTAAAGTAGAGGGACTAATCTTGCAATTTTTGAATAAATACTTAACTATTTTCCTTTTTTGAAAAAATAAAACTCGTTTTGTTAAATTCTTTTCCAAATAAAATTAGGACCAAAAGTTTCCAATTATTTTATAAAAAAAAACGTGTTTTTATTCAATTTTTTTCCTAAAATGAATAAGAAAACTTCATTATATATATCCACAATTTAACCTCCATTTTATCACATCTCAAAATTTTCTTTTTTCTACTCTGTTTTTAGTTAATGAAATAATTTCTTTTTTTCCCTCTCAAATCTTTGATCATGAAGTTTAATAAAAAAATTTCGAAGACTTCTTACGTCAGATTGTATCCTGTTGGTGTTCGTAAGAGAAAAAATGGGAAATTTTGCGCTGAAATCAAACACCCATTTAACAAGAAAATGGTTTGGTTGGGTACTTTCGTTACTGCTGATGAAGCTTTCGAAAGTTACAAGTCGAAGAAGCTTCAGTTTGAAGAACTAATCATGGCTAAAGATGCAAAAAAGAGACAGAAATTTGAAAAATCTGTTCAAGAATCATTAATGGGTATTGCTGAGAATACGAATTCATCAAATGGGGTTGAGGAAAAAATTGATCTTTTTACAGAGGAAAAACAAGAATCGTTAATGGGTGATTCTGAGAATTTAATTTCGAATTTGAATTTGAATTCGATTTCATCAAATGGGGTTGAAGAAAAAAGCAATCTTTTTGCAGGGGTTGAAAGTGATGAAGAACTGTTTAAGGGGACTTGGGTGAAAATTTCAGAGGGTAAAGAAGTAATGTTTTCACATAATTTGGGGGTTCCCGTTATCGATAATTATGGATTTTTGTTGGGTGAATTTAGCGATTTGGATGATCTTAGATTTATGTAAAGTAATATTGATTAAAAAAAAATTGTTGGAAGAAGTATTACATAAATGAGTTTGATGAATACAAACATTCAATATAGTGATCGTAAAACGTATCTTCTTTGTTTTATTTTACTTGATTCATATTGACTTGATATAATCTTGAACAACTTTCACATATAGCAAACATAAAAATTATATTTGTATGTTATAGCTATAGTTTGCATAATTGCGCTCCATAACAAATTTTATGTTTGCTATGGAGCTTTTGATTTGTATAATTCGCTACAAACATTCAATTTACAACAATTGTCAAATCAATAATTTACTTCTCAATGAATGGTTTATTAATGTGAGAAAATTAATTTTGTCAATATTAGTATGGTGTATAATGAAATGAAAGTTTGTTAATTACGTATAAGACAATTAAGTTTGATAAGCACAAATATTCAATTTATAATGAAATTATTTTTCTTATTTTTACAAAACTTATTTTCTTTTAAAAAAACATCCTCTAAAATATTTTGATCAACCAAGCAAAACTTTTACTTTCCTCCACAAACACACCCTCATTCAAAATTGGGATACATCTATTGAATAATATTTAAAGTTCTAAGATATTGTTTTAATTAATATCATTAATGGAGCTGGTTATAAAAGTCTTTCATAGTTAATAACCAATAAACAACTTGAAAGATTGTCTAGAAATTATTAATTAATTAGTACCTACTCGTCTTACCTCAACATTTATTATTCATACAGAAATACATATTATTGGCAAATTTTTGTTGCAATCACTTTCTCCTTCAAAGATTAATACGATATAATGTTGTAAACTTCACAAATATTATTTGTTTATTATTCTTAGGGGATACTATATGACAAATATGAAAATGTGACCTTTCATTAGTAAATTTTTGTGAAAAATATCAAGTAAAATTCATAGGCATGGACGAATTATAATAATTTGTTCAATTCTAAAAATGTTAATTAGTTCATAGGCGTAGACGATTTATAATGATATGTTCGCAGATAACTTATAATGATATGTCCCAAATCGAAACATAATTAACAATGGCAGATGCCACAAAAAATGAAATCATCGAGGCCCCAACCCAAAACCGAGCAAAAACAAAAACAAATAAATAAAGTAATATACATTGATAGTGTAAATATTTTCCACAACTACTATACTCTAATCTATAATAGTACGTGAGTTGTATTTACCAATATTATCAATTGGTACTTACAATAACCACAATAACAATATAATCAATATAATCCCACAAAGTGGAGTCTAGGGAGGGTAGTATGTCTACATATCTTATCTACTTCATACGTATCTGAGGAAGAGAGATAGTTTCCGATAGACTCCTGGATCAAGGAAAAAATAGTTCAAAGCAGTCCAAAAGAAAAAAAGTACAAGAAATAGCAGATAGCAGAAAAAACAACAAAAAATAATAGGACAATATCTAAAAAAATAAATAAATCTGATAGTCGAAGTACAAGGCAATAAATAATAATGCAAATTGAAGGACCAAAAACTAACGGAGTAATAAACTACAAATACTAGTATGGATATATGACAAGACAAGGCCTTAGCTTCTAGGTATTAACCCTCTACCCTAATTTGTCCACAACTTCCTATCGAAACTCATGATTTACGTAAGTTGAAATTGCGACGACTTATCTAATCACCTTTATCAAATTTATCTTTGGTCTGGCTCTACCTTTTCTTAAACCATTCATATATAGTCAGCCTCTCACACCTCCGCACTAGGACATCAGGACATCCCCTATTCACATGCCCGAACTATCGAAATCTCATTTTTTGCATCATATCCTCCACCGAAGTCACTTCCACATTGTCCCGAATATCCTTATTTTCAATCATATATCTCCTAATATACACATACATGTATCACAACTTCCTCATTTCTGCAACTTCAAACTTCTCAACATGAGAGTTCTTCACCGACAAACTCTCCACCCTATACAACATAGTTAGTCTAAGAATCACTTTATAGAACTTGACTTCAAGCTTTGGTAGCACCTTCTTATCACACAAGATTCTGAATGCAAGACTCTATTTCATCCAACATGCACTAATTTGTTAATTCTACCAAATTAAGAGATTTTAATGTTCATTGTCAAATTAGGACATTAATAGATTGGATATGTAGACGGTAAAAAAAAATCAAACACTGAAATTTCTCAAAAAAATAAAAAATTACCCAGAGAATTTAACTATTTTTTTAATTTTTTAAATATAAAATGTGTTTTGTTAAATCTTTAACTTAGGTCAGATTGAATCTTGACTCATTTATTGTCTTGATACATTAATTATGCCCCCGTTTAAATTTTAGTCAACCTGCCAATTGTCACCCTACCTAAAATGTTTGTTTATATATATATTCATAATTTAGCTCTCATTTTTCATCTCTTGATTTGCTTTTCTATTCACTTCTTTATTGAAATAGCCCTACCTCTCCACCCCCAATCCTTAAAAAAAAATTCTCCAATCATGGAATCCCAAAAAATAACATCAAACAAAAATCGTGCTAGATTATATCATGTTGGTGTTCGGAAGCGAAAAAGTTATAAATTTGTTGCTGAAAGCAGACACCCAATCGACAAAAAAGAATATTTGACTAGATACTTTTACCACTGTTGATGAAGCTTCTGCAAGATACAAGTCTAAGAAGCTTGAGTTTGAAGAATTGATCATAGCTAAAGTTGTAAAAAAGGATAAGATTTCTGAAAAATCAAATAAAAAAACTTGTTCTAGTGATGGATCTAAACATAAGTCTTCAATGGGTGCTACTGGAAATTCCAATCCATCAAAGGGAGTTGAGGAAAAAATCAAAGAAGAAATGGGGAATGAAGCAGATGAAGAACTATTTAAGGGGACCTGGGTGAAAAATATCAAAGGGCAGCGAAGTGAAAATTTCACATAAGTTAGGGGTTCCAATTGTTGATAACTATGGATATTTGGTTCGTGAATTTAGTGCTATGGATGATCTTAGCATAGATAAGTAATTTTATGGTCCAAAAAATGAGGGAAAAGGGGTACAAAATAGCAATTTTAGAACTATTGGGGGTTCAAATTTTAATTTTAGAAACTTTAAGAGGCTTTAGGTCTTTGTGATTAGCTTTTCGATATAATCTATGTGGTTATGTTACAATAATTGCTAAATCAATGATTTACTTTTTAATGAATGAAATTAAATTTCTTTTTGAAAAGAAAAACTCAATATGGTGATAGTGAAATGAAATTTTGTTTCTCCATTTTAATTATATTATTGTCTTTTTGTTTTGGTGATTAGAATTTCTTTGATTTTAAGATACTTTTGTTATCATATTATAAATAAATAAATACTAGTATGGACATATGACAAGACAAGACCCTTAGCTTCTAGTTATTAACCCTCTACCCTTATTTGTCCACAACCTCCTATCGAAGCTCATGTTTTACGTAAGTTGAAATTGCGACATGACTTATCTAATCACCTTTATCAAATTTATCTTTGGTCTGTCTCTACCTCTCCTTAAACCATTCATATATAGTCAGCCTCTCACACCTCCGCACTAGGGACATCTGGACATCCCCTATTCACATGTCGGAACTATAAAAATCTCATTTCTTGCATCATATTCTCCACCGAAGTCACGTCCACATTGTGCCGAATATCCTTATTTTCAATCATATATCTCTTAATATACATATACATCCATCACAACATCCTTATTTCTGCAACTTCAAACTTCTCAACGTGAGAGTTCTTGGCTGGCAAACTCTACACCCTATAAAACATAGTTAGTCTAAGTATCGCTTTGTAGAACTTGACTTCAAGGTTTAGGATAGCACCTTCTTATCATACAAGATTCTAGATGTAAGCTTCTATTTCATCCAACTTGCACCAATTTGATAATTCTTCAAATTGGGAGATTTTAATGTTCATTGTCGAATTAGGACATTAATAGATTGGATATGTAGACGGTAAAAAAAATCACACGCTGCAACTTCTAAAAAAAATAAAAAAATTACCCGGAGAATTTAACTGATTTTTTGTATAAAATGTGTTTGGTTAAATCTTTAACCTAGGTTAGATTTAATCTTGACTCATTTATTGTCTCGATTAATTGATTATGACCCCGTTTATATTTTAGTCAACCTGTCAATTGTCACCCTACCTAATATGTTTGTATATATATATATATAATTTAGCTCTCATTTTTCATCTCTTGATTTGCTTTTCTACACACTTCTTTATTGACATAGCCCTACCCCTCCATCTTTTTAAAAAAAAAAAAAGAACTCTCCAATCATGGAATCCCAAAGAATAACATCAAACAAAAAATGTGCTAGATTGTATCTTGTTGGTGTTCGGAAGCGAACAAGTGGTAAATTTAGTGCTGAAATCAGACACCCAATCGACAAGAAGAATATTTGGTTGGGTACTTTTACCACTGTTGATGAAGCTTCTGCATGATACAGGTCTAAGAAGCTTGAGTTTGAAGAATTGATCATAGCTAAAGATACAAAAAAGGATTAGATTTCTAAAAAATATGATTAAAAAAATTGTTTTGGTGATGGATCTAAACATAAGTCATCAATGGGTGTTACTGGAAATTTGAATCCATCTAAGGGAGTTGAGGAAAAAATCAAAGAAGAATTTGGGAATGAAATGGATGAAGAACTATTTGAAGGGACCTGGGTGAAAATTTCATAGGACAGCGAAGTGAAAATTTCACATAAGTTAGGGGTTCCAGTTGTTGATAGCTATGGACATTTGGTTGGTGAATTTAGTGTTAAGGATGATCTTAGCATAGATAAGTAATTTTATGGTCCAAAAATATGGGGAAAGGGGTCCAGAAGAGACATTTTAGAACTATAAGGGGTTAAAATTTTAATTTTACAAACTTTCAGAGGCTTTAGGTCTTCGTGATTAGCTTTTTGATAAAATCTATGTTGTTATGTTACAATAATTTTTAAATCAATAATTTTACTTTTTAATGAATGAAATTGAATTTCTTTTTGAAAAGAAAAAATAAGTATGGTGATAGTGAAATGAAATTTTGTTTCTCCATTTTATTTATATAATTGTTTTTTTTGTTTTGGTTATTAGAATTTTCTTGATTCTAAGATATTTTTGTTATCATATTATAAAATATATACTAGTATGAACATATGACATGAGAAGGCCTTTAGCTTCAAGGTATTAACCCTCTACCCTAATTTGTCCACAACCTCCTATCGAAACTCATGTTTTACGTGTTGAAATTGTGACATGACTTATCTAATCATCTTTATCAAATTTATCTTTGGTCTGTCTCTACCTCTCTTTAAACTAATCATATATAGTCAGCCTCTCACACCTCCGCACTAGGACATCTGGACATCCCCTATTCACATACCCGAACTATCGAAATCTCATTTATTTTATCATGTCCTCCACCGAAGTCACTTCCACATTGTCTCGAATATCTTTATTTTCAATCATATATCTCCTAATATACACTTACATGCATCACGACATCCTTATTTCTACAACTTCAAACTTCTCAACGTGAGAGTTCTTGACTGGCAAACTCTCCACCCTATACAACATAGTTAGTCTAAGTATCACTTTGTAGAACATGACTTCAAACTTTTGTAGCACATTCTTATCACACAAGATTCTGGATGCAAGCCTTCATTTCATCCAACTTGCACCAATTGAATACTAAATTGGGAGATTTTAATATTCATTGTAAAATTAGGACATTAATAGATTGGATATGTAGACGGTAAAAAAAATCAAACGCTGCAATTTCTCAAAAAATAAAAAATTGCCCGGAGAATTTAGTTAATTTTTAATTTATTTTTTTTGTATAAAATGTGTTTTGTTAAATCTTTAACCTAGGTTAGATTGAATCTTGACTCATTTATTGTCTCGATTAATTGATTATGACCTCGTTTAAATTTTAGTCAACCTGTCAATTTAGCTCTCATTTGTCATCTCTTGATTTGCTTTTCTACACATTTCTTTGTTAAAATAGACCCCCCCCCCCCCCCTCCCTTTTTTTTTTTAAAAAAAAATCTCTCCAATCATGGAATCCCAAAAAATAACTTCAAACAAAAATCGTGATAGATTGTATCTTATTGGTGTTCGGAAGCGAAAAAGTGGTAAATTTAGTGCTGAAATCAGACACCCAATCGACAAAAAGAATATTTGGCTGGCTACTTTGCCCACTGTTGATGAAGCTTCTTAGATGAAGCTTCTGCATGATACAGGTCTAAGAAGCTTGAGTTTGAAGAATTGATCATAGCTAAAGATACAAAAAAAAAAGATTAGATTTCTGAAAAATCTGATAAACAAACTTATTTTGGTGATGGATCTAAACAGAAGTCATCAATGGGTGTTACTGGAAATTCAAATCCATCTAAGGGAGTTGAGGAAAATATCAAAGAAGAAATTGGGAATGAAATGGATGAAGAACTATTTAAGGAGACCTGGGTGAAAATGTCAGAGGGCAGCAAAGTGAAAATTTCACATAAGTTAGGGGTTCCAGTTGTTGATAACTATGGGTATTTGGTTGGCAAGTTTAGTGTTATAGATGATCGTAGCATAGATAAGTAATTTTATGGAGTGGTCTAGAATAGACATTTTAGAACTATAAGGGGTTCAAATTTTAATTTTAGAAATTTTCAGAGGCTTTAGGTCTTTGTGATTAGCTTTTCGATATAATCTATGTTGTTATGTTACAATAATTTTTAAATTTACTTTTTAATGAATGAAATTGAATTTCTTTTTGAAAAGAAAAAAATCAGTATGGTGATAGTGAAATGAAATTTTGTTTCTCCGTCTTATTTATATGATTGTCTTTTTGTTTTGGTTATTAGAATTTCCTTGATTCTAAGATATTTTTGTTATCATATTATAAAATAAATACTAGTATGAACATATGACAAGATAAGGCCTTTAGCTTCAAGGTATTAACTCTCTACCCTAAATTGTCCACAACCTCCTATCGAAACTCATGTTTTACGTGAGTTGAAATTGCGACATGACTTATCTAATCACCTTTATCAAATTTATCTTTAGTCTGTCTCTACCTCTCTTTAAACCAATCATATATAGTCAGTCTTTCATACCTCCACACTAGGACATCTGGACATTCCCTATTCACATGTCCGAACTATCGAAATCTCATTTCTTTTATCATGTCCTGCACCGAAGTCACTTCCACATTGTCTCGAATATCCTTATTTTCAATCATATATCTCCTAATATACACTTACATGCATCACGACATCCTTATTTCTACAACTTCAAACTTCTCAACGTGAGAATTCTTGATTGGCAAACTTTCCACCCTATACAACATAGTTAGTATAAGTATCACTTTGTAGAACGTGACTTCAAACTTTTATAACACCTTTTTATCACACAAGATTCTGGATGCAAGCCTTCATTCATCCAACTTGCACCAATTTAGGATATTTTAATGTTCATTGTAAAATTAGGACATTAATATATTGGATATGTAGACAGTAAAAAAAATCAAACGCCGCAATTTTTCAAAAAAATAACAAAGTACCCGAAGAATTTAACTATTTTTTAAAATTGTTTTATATAAAATGTGTTTTGTTAAATCTTTAACTTAGGTTAAATTGAATATTGACTCATTTATTGTCTTGATTCATTAATTATGCCCCCGTTTAAATTTTAGTCAACCTGCCAATTGTCATCCAACCTAATATGTTATATATATATATATATATATATATATATATATATATATATATATATTCATAATTTATCTCTCATTTTTCATCTCTTGATTTTCTTTTCTACACACTTCTTTATTGAAATTGCCCTATCCCTCCGCTCCATCCCCCCCCCCCCCCCCCTTTTTTTTTTTAAATTTCCAATAATTAAATCCTAAAAAATAACATCAAACAAAAATTTTGCTAGATTGTATCTTGTTGGTGTTTGGAAGAGAAAAAGTGGTAAATTTGGTGTTGAAATTAGACACCCAATCAACAAGAAGAATACTTGGCTGGGTACTTTTACCACTGTTGATGAAGCTTCTACAAGATACAAGTCTAAGAAGCTTGAGTTTTAAGATATGATCATAGCTAAAAATACAAAAAAAAATCAGATTTCTAAAAAATCTGATAAAAAAACTTGTAAAAGTGATGGATCTAAACATAAGTCTTCAATGGGTGCTACTGGAAATTCCAATCCATCAAAGGGAGTTGAGGAAAAAATCAAAGAAGAAATGGGGAATGAAGCAGATGAAGAACTATTTAAGGGGACCTGGGTGAAAATATCAAAGGGCAGCGAAGTGAAAATTTCACATAAGTTAGGGGTTCCAATTGTTGATAACTATGGATATTTGGTTCGTGAATTTAGTGCTATGGATGATCTTAGCATAGATAAGTAATTTTATGGTCCAAAAAATGAGAAAAAAAGGGTCAAGAATAACAATTTTAGAACTATTGGAGGTTCAAATTTTAATTTTAGAAACTTTCAGAGGCTTTAGGTCTTTGTGATTAGCTTTTCGATATAATCTATGTTGTTATGTTACAATAATTGTTAAATCAATGATTTACTTTTTAATGAATGAAATTAAATTTCTTTTTGAAATGAAAAAATCAGTATGGTGATAGTAAAATGAAATTTTGTTTCTCCATTTTAATTATATTATTGTCTTTTTGTTTTAGTGATTAGAATTTCTTTGATTCTAAGATATATTTGCTATCATATCATAAAATAAATACTAGTATGGACATCTGACAAGACCAGGCCATTAGCTTCTAGGTATTAACCCTTTACCCTAATTTGTCCACAACCACCTATCGAAGCTCATGTTTTACGTAAGTTGAAATTGCGACATGACTTATCTAATCACCTTTATCAAATTTATCTATGGTCTATCTCTACCTCTCCTTAAAACATTCATATATAGTCAGCCTCTCACACCTCCGCACTAGGACATCTCGCATGCCTGAACTATCAAAATCTCATTTCTTGCATCATGTCCTCCACCGAAGTCACTTCCACATTGTCTCAAATATCCTTATTTTCAATCATATATCTCCTAATATACACATACATGCATAATAACATTCTTATTTCTGCAACTTCAAACTTCTTAACGTGAGAGTTCTTGACTGGCAAACTCTCCACCCTATACAACATAGTTAGTCTAAGTATCGCTTTGTAGAACTTGACTTCAAGCTTTGGTAGAACCTTCTTATCAAACAAGATTCTGGATGCAAGCCTCCATTTCATCCAACTTGCACCAATTTGATAATTATACCAAATTGGGAGATTTTAATATTCATTGTCAAATTAGGACATTAATAGATTGGATATGTAGACGGTAAAAAAAATCAAATGTTGAATTTCTCAAAAAAATAAAATTATCCGGATAATTTGATTAATTTTTTAAAATTTTTATATAAAATGTATTTTGTTAAATCTTTAACTTAGGTTAGATTGAATCTTGACCCATTTATTGTCTTGATTCTTTAATTATGACCCTGTTTAAATTTTAGTCAACCTGCCAATTGTCACCCTATTTAATATGTTTGTTTATATATATATATATATTCAGAATTTAACTTATTTTTCATCCCTTGGTTTGCTTTTCTACAAATTTCTTTATTGAAATAGCCCTACCCTCCGCCCCCCTTTTTAAAAAAAATCTCCAATCATGAATTCCCAAAAAATAACGTCAAACAAAAATTGTGCTAGATTGTATCCTGTTGGTGTTCGAAAGCGAAAAAGTGGTAAATTTGGTGCTGAAATCAGACACCCAATCGAAAAGAAGAATATTTGGCTGGGTACTTTTACCACTGTTGATGAAGCTTCTGCAAAATACAAATCTAAGAAGCTTGAGTTTGAAGAATTGATGATAGCTAAAAATGCAAAAAAGGATCAGATTTCTGAAAAATCTGATAAAAAAACTTGTTCTGGTGATGGATCTAAACAGAAGTCATCAATGGTTGTTACTGTAAATTCGAATCCATCAAAGGGAGTTGAGGAAAAAATCAAAGAAGAATTTGGGAATGAAATGGATGAAGAACTATTTGAAGGGACCTGGGTGAAAATTTCAGAGGGCAACGAAGTGAAAATTTCACATAAGTTAGGTGTTCCAATTGTTGATAATTATGGATATTTGGTTCGTGAATTTAGTGCTATAGATGATCTTAGCATAGATAAGTAATTTTATGGTCCAAAAAAGGAGGGAAAAGGGGTCCAAAATAGCAATTTTAGAACTATTGGGGGTAAAATTTTAATTCTAAAAACTTTCAGGGGCTTTAGGTCTTTGTGTTTAGATTTTCGATATAATCTATGTTGTTATGTTACAATAATTGTTAAATCAATGATTTACTTTTTAATAATAAAATTAAATTTCTTTTTAAAAAAAAAAATAATTAGTATGGTGATCGTTAAATGAAATTTTGTTTCTCCATTATTATTTATATTTATTGTCCTTTTATTTTGGTGATTAGAATTTCTTTGATTCTAAGATATTTTTGTCATCATATTCTTAAAATAATTTGGAAACCCTAATCCGAAATATTACCTTCTTATTTTTATTTTGTCATTTTCACTTGCAAAATATTGCTTTGAAATATTTTTCTTGAAATAATAAATTTATCAAAAATATTGCTTTTCTACTCTCTTTTTTATTGAATTACCCCCCCCCCCAACCCCCCCACCCCACCCCACCCTTTTTAAAAAAAAAAAAAAATCCAATCATGAAATTTCAAAAAATAACATTAAAAAGTTATGCTAGATTGTATTCTTTTGGTGTTCGAAAGAACAAAAATGATAAATTTGGTGTTGAAATCAGACACCCAATCTGTAAAAAGAAAATTTGGTTGGATACTTTTACCACTTTTGATGAAGCTTCTGAAAGTTACAAGTCTAAGAAGCTTGAATTTGAAAAACTAGTCATAACTTCTTCTTTTTTCCCGCAAATTTACCACTAGATAGTGTCTAGTGGCCTTTTATTAAACATAAAAAATATCAATAGGGATAAGTGCAAGCAAGGGGGGCTAGGCCTTACCTTACTAATCCTAATGAAGTGTCTACTACCTAACAAGCATGAAGAAAATAAGAGCTAGAAAGAACTAAGTATTTTCTGATCACCACAGAGTTTGTAATACACACCATGATGATATTACAAACGAGGATGCTTAAATAATGTAATAATATGCCAATCAAGAAGAAAGTTGAGTTATCAGCCTCAAACTTTCTATTGCAAACGCATGAATTAAAAAAGATTGATTGCCCATCAAAAGTAACTTGAAGTATTTTTCTTTTGTCTTCTTCTTCAAACCTATCCAACAACACTTGATAATTCATACTTTATTTATGGATTTATTGGACCTTGTTGAACCTATTGATACTGTCAAATGGTTCTGCTTTGCCTGTCGCATCGGTAGGTGCCTTGGAACAAACTCCTCAGTCATTTTACCGTCCCAACTATGTTGCCTTCCATGTGTCTTCTTTTTGCTTTTGTTGCTTCTATTTCTTTGTTGCCTAGGTGATATATCTCCTTCCCTAGCCACTCTATCAAAGCACATGTCCAGCATATCTTCCTCATCTTCATCAAGAGAATCCTCACCAAAATCAAGCATATTGTCTTCCTCATTTTCATCAAGAAAATCCTCGCCCAAATCAATTGTATTTGACACTAAGACCCTTGACTCATTTTTCTTTGCAATCACACATTTAGGCACAAATACGGGAGCTTCTGGATTTAATTTGCTATTCAAAGTAGGTGGTGAGACCTGCTTTTCTTTGATCAAATCGTTGTCATTCTCTGTTAACTTTACTTGTTGTCCAGTAGTCTTCGATAAAGCATCAAAGCTATTCGAACATAATAGGTCTCTTGAGGCATTACTAATATCTTGCCTCTTCTCACTGTCATAAAAATTTCCAGTCGCACCCTTTTCACTACATGGAGAATTATTTTGACTAGTCGGGGAAAGGCTCCGATTACTAGTTGAATTTTTGTGTGCAACCAGTGTCCAATTTTTAGTTGCATTCTTGGTTTCAACTTGCAAAACATGCTGCCCAGAATTTTCAGCATCTTCAACATCAGATGTATCCATTAGTTTGTGTCCTGAATCCATTATTTTTTTGCCTGAACCAACTCGCGGCGCATCAACACCAACTCTTGGCGTTCCCCTTTTGTTTTCGGTCGTTGTTTGAACACCAATATTACTTGTAACAACATCCATTGAGTGTGCACGATTTGCTCAGAAGGGACATCAACCAACTGCCGATCTAACAAAGTAGCTTTACTTTGATTGATATCTACAACCTTTCTTTTTTCATTTAGTATTTCTCTCGCATCACCTTGATACTTTTCACTATCAATAGTACCTTTTGTAGCAACTTCAATGGTATCATCAATTTGTTTGTTATTTTGATTTCTTTTTGAGATCAAACGACAACTATCTTCATCATGACCTTGGTGCTTACAATAATTGCAATACAAAGGTAGATTATCATATACAATCTCTTGAAAAACCTCGATCAACTTACCAGATTTTCCACCCACAAACTGCAACCTTATACGATTTGGAAGCTTTTCCATTAGATCAAGTATAACCTTGATCCTAGCTGTGCTAGGTCTTGACTTGATTTGAGTAGCTTTATCTATAGCTATTGGTTTCCCAACTGCCGATGCTATAGACAACAAAGACTTCTATGCAAACAAATCTGGAGATAAGTTTGGTAAAGAAATCCAAACCACAGCTAACGTCGTTTCCTCCTTAGGATTATATCCAATGGACCATGGAAAAACCCTACATTGGTGCTCCTCTCCATTGTAGAGAAGATAATTAACTGAGCGAGATAATGCTAGTACATAATCTTCATATTGATCAAATCTCAACAAAATTTGTCTTGGAGCAAGTAAGCCAATTAAACAGTTGCCCTTGGTACCAAGATGTTTCGGTAAAATTGACCTTAATACCTTCAAATCTGGCGCACCATGGGATAATTTAAACACCACTGCTTGATGCAATCCCTCTTCAATCATAAAGTCTTGCCTTTCCTCCATTGAAAACGTGATACTAGATTCTCCATGAATTATTTCGATTGATTTTGCGATTGTTTTTGAGTTAATTAGGGCAGATTGTTTAGGATTTATAGTATTGGAATTGAAAGGCGTGGCGTATGTGGTGGTTTTGGGTGGTGGGGCGGGCTGGACAGCCTCGAAAGGAGGCCGTCCAGTGGTCGTAGCAGCCATGAGAGCTGCGCAGCTGTTGGCTTAAAACCCTAGGTCAGCCGTCAGATTTTGTAAAATTCATATTACTATTGACTAAAAAACAAAAAAAAAAAAAAACTAGTCATAACTAAAATGCAAAATCAAGTCAAATTTTTGAAAAATCTGATAAAAGAACTTGTTTTAGTGATGAATCTGGAAAAAAAAATCATCAATTGGTGTTACTAGATATTCGAATCCATCAAATGGATTCAGGAAAAAATCAAAGAAGAAATTGAGAATGAAACGGATGAAGAACTATTTAAGGAGACCTGAGTGAATATTTCAAAAGATAACGACGTGAAAATATCACATAAATTGGGGGTTTCAATTGTTGATAATTATGGATACTTGTTGGGTGAATTTAGTGTCTTAGATGATCTTAGCATATATATGTAATACTATGGTCCAAAAAAATGGGAGAAAAGGATCTGAAATAGCAATTCTGAAAGTTTTGAGGGTACAGGTTTTGATTTTACAAACTTTCAGGGGCTTTAGGTCCTTGTGATTAGTTTTTCGATATAATCTATGTTGTTATGTTACAACAATTGTTAAATTAATGTTTTACTTCTCAAGGAATGAATGTAACTTTCATTTTTAAAAATTAGTATGGTGTTAATGAAATGATTGAAATTATGTTTCTCCAATAATAAAAATAATAATTGTGTTTTTATTTGAGAAAAGGGTCTGAAATATACTGAACTTTGATCGAAATTGCAGTAACGATACCAAACTTTGGAAAGGACCTTTTACCTCCCTACACTATTTAATCGTGTATTTAAAAGGTATATATATGTCCACGTGGACATCATAAATATTGCATAATTATAAATAATAATGTGTCCACGTGGACACATATATACCTTTTAAATACACTATTAAATAGTACAGGAGGGTAAAAGGTCCTCCATAAAGTTTGGTATCGTAACAGTAATTTCGGCCAAAATTGGAGTATTTTTTAGACCCTTTCCCCTTTTTGTTTTGATAATTAGAATTTCTTCGATTTTAAGATATTTTTTATCACAATCTTATAAATAATTTGGGTACTCCTAAATCCGAAAGATTACCTTTTTCAGTTTTATTTTTTGTCATTTTCATTTGTAAAATATTGCTTTGAAACTTTTTTCTTGAAGTCAAAAATTTATTGAAAACAATTTTTTTTTTATGAGTAAGAGTAGAATCAGTATATATTCTTTTTCTTTCTTTTGCATTTCAGCAATAAAATTATAAGGAATATGCTATTTTTTTCCTTTTTTTTTCACCCTTAGTTTGTTTCTTATCACTATTTGTACAAAAAGTAAAAACTATTCATTCACAATTTAAATTAGACACTTCAACCTTAATAGTTCTTGTCAGTAAACTTATTTTCACTTGCGTTTAATTAAATTCGTCAAAAAAATATGGACAAAATCTAAATAAAAACCCAAAAAAGAAGAAGAGATTTTTGCTTAAATGAATCGACTTGCCTTAGGTCCAAGAAGACCGATTAGCCCAACAAGCATTTTTATTTGTTTCCTTTGCCCCCTACATAATCTTCTATTGCAACTTGTTTTTGTGTATATCGATTAGGTAAAAGATTATTAGGTAGCAGTGTGTTATTTTATTATCCTTCTATATAAAATATACATGTTGTTTTTGTTACTATCAGTTTTATTCTTATGCTTCTGTATTTCCTTTTTTGGATTGCTTTGAGATGTCTTTTTCTTGAATCGAGGATCTATTGAAAACTACCTCTAAATAAGAGTAAAGTCTGCATATCTACATTGGACATGTTGTTGTTAGCCATATTAGGTTTGAATTATGTACATTGAACATGTTGTAGTTGTTAGCTCATATTAGGTTTGATCCAAAAACTCAAATGGATTATAACAGTATGTTACAATGGATTCAAATTAAAGGTAAAGGTTTGAATTATGTACATTGAACATGTTGTAGTTGTTAGCTCATATTAGGTTTGATCCAAAAACTCAAATGGATTATAACAGTATGTTACAATGGATTCAAATTAAAGGTAAATACAACTAAAATATCCATATCATAAAGAGTACAATAATAATCTCCACGAAAGAGTGCAACTTATAAATTCACACTTTTAATAGTTTAGATAAGAAACTAAAAAAAATGATAGTTTAGGTGTGTTTTTGACACTTATCTCTATATATAATAACACACATATATATATAAAAAATAAAAAAAAGCTTTTTTGCTGTACAAGTTATAGAATTTTCTTGACATACCAAAAAATTCTAGGGAAGCAACGATGATATTCATAATTGTTATTAGTACTTTTGAGTCCTTTTACATAAATTTCTGACTTCGTTACTATGTTGATAAAAAATGTAGCAGGTAGATGTGTTGTTGTATAGGACAATAAGATACTCCATTTGTCTCCTTCATTTTTATTTTTGGTCCGTTAAAAAAAATGTAAATTTTTATATTCAAAATAATTTAACATATTTTAATTATTTTATTTTATTATGAATGATATGATTTTATAATTACATAAATATTTATAATTCTAAAAAATAATTCTTGTCCAACTTTATATATAATGAAACCTACTAGAGTACTATAACATTGAATAGTGACTATATGTAATAAATTAGAATACTCCTACCCTTAATAGAGTAAATTCCAATTAAATATATTGGACCTTGATATGTTTTTTGTTTTGTTTTTCAGTTAGGGTTCGGTATTCTTTTTAAAATTTAATTAATTTTGATTTGTATAGAAAAAATTATATACATTTTTAAAAATTATGACAAATAATTCGAGACTGAGACACCAAACATCAACTAAACTTACCTATTTTAAACCAAACATAAAAAATTAATTAGAAGGACGACCGACTTATCGGATCGAAAACAACCAAAAATGTCTTCCATAAATAACTTGATGGAGGTAGGTCAAATAAATAAATGCATGTCCATATAGCTATTGCTGCAATCTAAATAAATTCTTTTCTCAATAATTTTTAAAGTTATTCCAAAATTATTGATAGTTTATGTATCCAATTTCTTTCTCTTTTTTTTAGTTTAATTTTTAATATTTTCATTCTACATTTATTGACATAACTTGTTGTGATTTACTTGAATTAATAGTCGAGTTTATATAAGGAGAGAAATCGAGAACAACATCGATGAAGTGACATGTAGAGGCGAACTAAAAATTTTAAATTTATTAATTTTTAAATTTAGGACAAATAATTTATTGCATTGAATAAATTACTTATATATATTAAGTAAATTTCTTAACATAAACAGTGTATAATTATAAGAACTATGTCATACCATTAGTACATATAATTGACCTCCGCCTCTTCTATGGAATATTTTGCTTGTAAAATACGATGTGAATCCAAATCAATTCTCATGAAAGTGAGTATCAAATATTAAACGAGAACTAAAAGAAAAAAACTTTCAAAGTCCGAACTCTTTTTTAGCTATATATATAGAGATAGCGGAGTCATTCTTGTCCACAGCGTGTTAAGGCCGGTATCAATTAATTGAAAAATTATACTATTTATACCTCGTATGGGTAAGAACTGTTTTTATATATATTTACTACTTCTTCTATCCAACTTATATGTAATAAATAGTCCGGCATATATAGTTACATCAACTTTAATTTATTTCATATAAATTAAAAAACACGCATTCTCATATTATAACATACAATTAGACTAATTAAGGAAAGAAGGAAAAGGACATGCAAACAAAATAATGAAAATAATTAACACACTTAATTAACTAAATTCATGAATTAATTAAAGATAATTAGAGCCTAACAACATCTGGAATATCAACAGGATATCTATCAATGCAATCAGCCCATGGATTATGATCATCTACTGGAAGCTTGATTGTTCTATTACACTTCCAAACAGCACTATTACACTTAAATCCACTCCCAAATGCAATTTGCCAAATTCTGTCACCTGTCGAGACATAATATATAGTAAAATATTACGTGTTATACAAAATCATACTATATTTTTATTGTAACAGTTTAAATTTTTAAATGATATGATCATGTAATTCACCGTTACCTTTCTTCATTCTCCCCTTTGCTTCAATGTAACTCATCTCATACCATAGTGACGACGATGATGTGTTACCGAACCGGTAAAGCGCCATTCTCGAGGCCTCCACATGCTCCGCCGATAGTTGTAGGTTGTTTTGTAGCTCATCTATTACAGCCCTGTTGTAAAAATAAAGTAAAATCGTTGCAAGTACATGAATTTACTTTATTTGTATTTCATATGTTGATAATGTGTCAGTAAGTAAATAAAAATGTGTACTTATGACAACTTAAGTTTTTGTTTTTTGAGTCAGTCACATATTTCAACGTGGTCTATCTGAACAAACAAAGGTCCTAAATTCGATAAGATGGTCACACTTACATATTCAATCAAAATTTAACATAAGGATATATGAATGACATGAAAAAAGAGTCTAAAATTAACTTATGATACATGTATTAAATTAGGTACATTTTAATTAGATGAATTTGTGTACTTACCTAAGTAAGCGCTTTAGTTTTTCTATGCAAATCAAATAAGAAGAAATTACGAAAAAAAATACTTTATTTTCAATAAAATTTGAGTGATTTGAAGAAGTAAAGAAGAATATACCTTCCTCCAGCGTGTATGCAAAAATGTTCAAATGCTAATTTGAAATCCGGAATATACGGTTTCATCTTAGACTTAAATAATTTTCGGCATATGAGGGTAAGAAGGAAGAGAAGTTGTTCCGAAGCGGGTAGAACAAGTGGTCCAATTGTTGTAATATTAGATTTCAATGCTTCTCCTGCAACTTGCATGAGATCTATACACAAATTTATCCCCACTTTCCCTTCCGGGTCTTCTTGTTGTTGTACACAGCTAAAAGATTTATCATCTCCACCTTTGTGTGTTCTGACTATGTGTACTAGACGGTACTTAGCCCGACCCCGGTCTGATTTTCTGTTAGACAAAAGTATGGCTGCTCCTCCCATTCTGAATAGGCAATTCGTAAGTAACATCGATCTCTCCTTACCTAAATTGAAAAACAATAAATGATGAATCAGATTCAAGATTAAAACTTTATGACTATTACTGAATTCATTGACCATTTGAGTTGTTTGACTCAATATTTATACTTATTTAGTAAATTACTTGCGTCAAAACTTCTAGGTTCACAAGTTCAATATTTTCAAAAAAAAAATTGTGTTGAGTCAAATACTGCTACATAATTAAATAGGAAAACTACAACCCAAATAGCTTTGAGTCATCTAGTTTACAATAATGTATACTTTATACAAAATATACATGTATACGTATAATATACATACCTATACACATCATATATACAATTGAAGTATATAGGTAATGTATATTTCGGTCTTGTTGATAAACTAGATGACTGAAGAGTACGTTTACCTAAATAGCCATTTGGTGTGAGAATCTCAGTGCTAATAACCACAGCATTTGAATTAGGGTATTGTTGAAGTATATCACGAGCTAAATCAATGGATATTACCCCAGCACTACAGCCCATTCCAGATAAATTAAAACTCTTTATATTACTCCTCAATTTATACTTGTTTATAACCATAGCCGAAAGTGAAGGAGTTGGTGAAAAGAGGCTACAATTGACAACAAGTACATCAATGTCTTTAGGTTTTAGCCCCGTTTTCGCCAAAAGTGAATCCATAGCTGAAAATATAACTAGTTCAGCTTCTTCTCTAGCCAAATCCATAGTAGGAGTTGGTGGAATATAATGCATGGCGGGGGGTAACGCTGTTTCTTCACTAAGACCAGAACGTTCAAGGATTTTCATTTGAAAACGAACACTTTTAGGCTCAGAAGACAAAATCAGGTGTGCGTGTTCCATAAACGATGCAAATGGGATACGACATGTAATAGGAGGGCGAAAACACGCGTAATCTACTAAGTATATGGTTCTTGGACGTGACATTATGTAACATGTTGTTACATAACTTATGAGGAAGAATGAACAAACTAAGTTAATTGAAGTAAGGGAAAGTGAGTTGTAAAAATTGAGAAGGTCATTTGGATTTGATTGAAGAAATTGAATTAAAATTGTAGCCATAATTGGTACTAACAAAAATGTTAAAATGTTGTTCACTAGGTATTGGTAACATAATTTGACATACCTTAGCTTTATTGAATGAGAATTTTCAGGCATTTTTGGGATTATTTGGAAAAATGAAGAAAAAAATTGATATGTTTCACTACAAATAGTTAGAGGAATATATAGAGTGGAAATATAAAGACTACATAAAGAGTGAAGAATTTAATGGTATGGCCATTGGCAGATGGAATGATAATGATAACCAATTTTTGGTGGACATGGTCCTAATCTAGCTAACTTAGTACAAAGTGAGTTATGAGCATATATATACTTTTCAAAAATTGATTTTAAAACGTAGCGGAATATATTATATATGTTCGAATATTAATAAAACACATTATATCTAGCGGAATATATTATATATGTTCGAATATTAATAAAACACATTATATCTGTATATATAATGTCTCGCATATTAATAATGAAATACATTATATATGTGTTGATAGTGTATAATAAGTATATCCGCACATATATAAAATTTCTATAGTGAAATACACTATAGAGAAATACACTATGTTTAAGCGCATATCAATAACGAAATGCATTGTATTCACACTTTTAGAATATCCTTGTATACTATATCAAATACAGAAAATATTTAAAGCTATAAATGAAAATTAGGTGTAAAACGATAAATTCAGATGGGTCCCCCTGTTATAAATTAAAGGCTAGTATTGTCACTACAGCATGAAAAATAAATGAGCAATTATACATTAACAAGGACTATATGTGGACCAATAAGAAAAAAGAAAATTCATACTAATTTAATTACCAAAGTGTCCTTATACAAGAAATCAAGATCAACAGAGGCGGATCTAGAGCATAATGAATAAGTTTATTCGAATCTCGACAAAAAGTTACACAAATAAGACATTTTAAACTTAAATATTGAGCTTCATGAATATAAAATTAGAAAGTATTATATTTTTTTCGAATATCTATAGTAGAAGTCTCATTTTATATGTTAAAAAAATAGAAGTTACATCGAAACTTCACATAAAAAAAATACTCCATATGTTTTAACTATCAAACTTTTTAATTCCTTAACATAATTAAAATGAAGAAAATTTATATCCATACACTTGGATAATAAGTAGTTCTTGCTAATGGTTAAAGAAAAAAGGGAGGGGGGGGAGGGACGACGGGGTTAAACTTAGGATATTTATTTCTTACATTTCTTTTAAATTATTTCACGAAAAATAGTATTTTTTAAGTTGAGAATATATCAAAACATAAAATTTCTAAAATGGAAGTAAGTAGTTTCCATATATATACACTACTTTTTTTAGAGTCACTTATGAAAATTGAAAATATACTAAATATATTATTATTATTGCTAAACGTAACGAAAAATATTTGAATTAACTACTTGAAACTCGAAAAGGAAAATTACTGATAAGACTAATTATTATCCAATCAAACTTAAAAACATTGCATGTGTATTCTGCAGATTTAATTAAGACATTACTTAATTGCATGATAGCTGGCAATGTACGTAAGAAATGCTAAATTTAACCTATCGAGACTCTACTATTTTTGATAATATAGTTAACTTTAAAAAAATAAAATTGGCAGGGGCATAAGTTTAGATTTTTGTATCATTATATCCGAAAACTAGTTCTTTGATCTCACGCACTTGATTTTCCTTTTCTATTTTTCTTTCAATATTTGACCTATTTAGAAAAATAGTCGTGATTTCGAATCAATTTAGATTGTCGTTTGTGGCTCTGGTGACGGCTAGATCAACGCGTCATTGCTTCGTTCGATATGATGTCTTTGTTCTCATCTAAGAGTTAATGACTTTAATTTCTAAAAAACTTATGCTCCACTAAGTATTATAAGTTTAATTGATATATGATAAAATTAAAATCTGAAGACCAACTATTTGAAAGACAAAAAGTAAAAATCAATGAAAAGGTAAAACATGCCGTTGTATGATGATGACGACGAGATGTGCTGAATTAAGAGAGGAAATATATAAATTTATTTCTCAATTATAATAAATTTCTATAATTTATAAATATTGAGTACGAGTAAATTATATTCGCAAGAAGTTATACCTTCGTAGCCAACAAAACATCAACTACCTTTGCCAACTATTGAACGTACTCCTAACTTTCAAGTTCAAATGAATTATTATATCACAAATGTAAACAACAATAAATGAACAGCTTTCGATTTTTGTCTTGCAACTATTTTCAATATATATATAACAATTCAAGTTACGAGGGGGTAAGATTGCATTCTAAGAGGATGAGGGCTGATCGATTTTCGGGTGTACTCATATTGAAAATGCATGATTGAATATTTTAGTTTGACTTCGTTGATACAGCTACAGTAGGTCTGTAGATGGACATGATATATTGTATATTGAGTGGAGTCAAATCATACACTAAAGCTTTAAAAAAAAAAAATTTACCTACATTTGCATGGCTTTTAATTTGAAAATCACATTTTACTTGGGTTACACAATTGAATAAAATTTAATCCAAAGATGGTAGTTTTTGTTTGGTGATGACCTCCTTTTAATCATACTCATTGGAAGCTACTCGACAATCAACTAAAATATCGATTAAAATATAGTAATCATATTTAAGAGGCAGACCGATTGAGTATTTGAATTTTATGAATTTTATGTACTACACAATTAATTAACTATTCGAGTTGATGACTTTGAAGTTTAATAAATTTCTTAATACAAACATATATACCGGGTTTGAGCTATAACTTCTTTTGTGAATGTGCCCTAGTAAGAAAATCTATAACTCTATCTAAATTAATTTATATGACATTATTTGATTGAAAATGAAGCTTATTAGAAAAAATAAAAGAACACTACATAATATAGAGAAAATCCCTATATAATCTTGTGGTCATAAATAAGTTAGGTAGAATGTTCTTACCAGTAAAAAATGAATGTTAGAATAAAATAGATTCTTAATATTGAAAGATGTCAATCTTTTTTTCCATAAAAAAATGAGAAAAGAATATTACAAATGAAGAAACGAAAAGAGATCATAACAAAAAGGGTAAAATTTTATCTTTACCCGATATTTCTAATACATCATAATTAAGTCATAAATAATTAAGATGAGTATATGTAGCATTGAAGCCCCAATTAAATCTGGATCGCGCACTGTAGTAGGCTCCATTTGGAGTGGCGCTCCCAATAGGATTTTCTCCATACCCAAGGCCCAATAGGATTTTCTCCATACCCAAGGCTCAAATCTGAGACTTCTGATTAAGCGTGAATCAGTCACATCGCTGCATCAAAATCTATTTAATGGTCCTATATTAAAAGGCATGAAGCATATCTTCCTAGTTTCAAATTAGGTTTAACTTCAAGTTGTTGGATTAAACTCTTTCTACTTTTGTCATAGTAGTACTCCAAATAAGGCCTTCTACATACTTCTTTTAAGTATACTTAGTTAAGACTTTTACGTAGTAGTTCAATGTTCATTATATCCAAAGTATTTATCAATCAATGTTTATTTACTTTTATATCCATCAAAGTATTTATTCTTTCTAGCTTTTGTAGTTTTTATAGCTAATTTTTTTATTAAAAAAAAAATTCTCTACTTATATTTCTTTTTCTTCCCTTGTTTTTTCTTTATTTTTCTCCAACCCACACTTAATTTTGGCTCCTTTCTTTCTATTCTTTTATATTTATCCTTTATATCAATAAAAAAAAAATAACTGAAATAATATATATATATATAACAAAATAAAAAATGAAAAGGACAGCAGTCACGTCACATATGTTGTGTTGCATCGATCACTTCATGAATATTTACGTTTGAATCATATACGTACTGCTTTGGTCAATAATAGTGGGCATTCCGGTAATTTTCTTTGTCACGTGTGAGTAATTTAGTATTCCTAATTAATAAGTATTACGATCAACAAGGACTTTGATGGGATGGTAAGTATGCATTCATCATTAGCCAGAGGTCTCAGATTTGAGTCCCCCGAATACGAAGTCGCCTTTGTTATAGAGCACTTTACACCCCAATATAGGTACATAACACAGGATGGAAAAACAAAAAAAATAAGTTTATGAGCAAATTATGATAATTACTTTGTTATTGATGGGAAGTTCTTCTCCAAAAGACCAAACCAAACTATAGTTTAGTCAAAACAACTTGATAATATTTTATTAGTCAACTAATGTTATGTCATATACTAAAACAGGCAAGACTTGAAGAGTGTGGGCGTTGGCCGTTGGCTACCAATCTACCCTTCACTTATTTCTATGATGAAATGATCCTTTTTGCCTTATAAAATGTCTCCTATAATCATCTCACTATCCATATGTTCCCGAGCAGTGACATTCTTGAATAAAGTCTATCCGAACTGAAATAGCACTTCTCAGATCAGACTATACCTCTCCAGCTACTAATCAATATTAAAACTTTCATAATCTTTAAGACAAATATGCCTCAGGCTCAGAGATCAGTTAAACTCAAGTGTGCAAAACTTGGGTACCAATATGTTGTGAATCACTTCTTGACATGTCTATTGTTGCCCATAATGGCTATGGTTTTTGTTCAAGCTATTCAACTAGGCCCTGAGGAAATTTCCAATCTTTGGAACTCCATACAGTTTGATTACACCAAAACTGTCTGTTCATCTTTCGTTGTCATCCTCGTGTCCATTTTATACTTCATGTCAAGGCCTCGAGGGGTTTACCTAGTCGATTATGCATGTTACAAGCCACCTCTGTCATTGCGCGTCCCCTTTTCAATCTTCATGGAGCATTCAAGAATCATACTTAGTTCAGAGCCAAAGAGTGTTGAATTCCAACTGAAGATTCTTGAGAGGTCTGGTTTAGGAGAAGACACATGTTTGCCACCAGCAATTCATTGTATCCCTCCTGCACCTAGCTTGGACACTGCAAGAGAAGAAGCTGAAATGGTAATATTTTCAGTCATGGATTCTCTCTTCAAGAAAACAGAGGTAAAGCCTAAAGATATCGACTTTCTTATAGTGAACTGTAGCCTTTTTTCGCCAACGCCATCTTTATCAGCAATGGTGGTTAATAAGTACAAAATGAGAGACAACATCAAGAGCTATAATCTTTCAGGAATGGGGTGTAGTGCTGGATTGATCTCCATTGATTTAGCTCGTGATCTTCTCCAAGTTCATCCCAAATCGATTGCTGTGGTTGTCAGCACAGAAATCATCACGCCGAATTACTACAGAGGCAAAGATAGATCAATGCTCCTACCAAATTGTCTGTTCAGAATGGGAGGTGCAGCCATACTTTTATCAAACAAGTGGTGGGCAGATCAACGGCGAGCCAAGTACAAGTTGCTGCATACAGTGAGAACACACAAAGGATCTAACGACAAATCTTATAATTGTGTATTTGAAACTGAGGATTCAGAAGGTAAAACAGGAATTTCCTTGTCAAAAGATCTAATGGCCATAGCAGGGGAGGCATTGAAGTCTAATATAACATCACTTGGACCACTTGTTCTTCCTCCATCAGAACAACTTCTGTTTCTCTTGTCACTCATTGGCCGAAAGGTCTTTAACTCAAAACTGAAACCATATATTCCGGACTTCAAACAAGCGTTTGAACATTTCTGCATTCATGCTGGTGGAAGAGCGGTGATTGATGAACTGCAGAAGAACTTGCAGCTGTCTGCAGAACATGTTGAGGCATCGAGAATGACTCTGCACCGGTTTGGGAACACGTCTTCTTCATCATTATGGTATGAACTGAGTTATATTGAAGCTAAGGGAAGGATGAAGAAAGGTGACACAATTTGGCAGATTGCATTTGGGAGTGGATTCAAGTGTAACAGTGCTGTTTGGAAGTGTAACAAGACAATAAAAACTCCAAGTGATGGACCTTGGTCTGATTGTATCCATAAGTACCCAGTTTATATCCCAGAAATAGTAAAGCTCTAGGAGAATATAATCAACAATAGCAGAGAAGAATATTTGTGGTTAAATCTGTTTTTGTTCTTACCTCTTGTAAGCTATATGGAACTTATATGCCAATGCAATTCATTGAGCCCATTCAGTTGTGAAACATGCATATGACAATCTATAGTCAGCACGACGATACTACCACAATAACAACTCATTAGCTTATAATTGAATAGAAAGATGTGAATGATATGAATGTTATCAAAGATTTGTTCTTAAGCCCAAGGTCCAATCGGAAAATTTTGGTTTCATAGCATATTTGTTTCATAAAATTGAGAGTTACATTTCTAAAAGGGGAGAAAACATCACATTACATTTCACTTCAAGTGCTGTCACTATATATATATATAGCACTCAACGTCTAGGAGGACCACGATTGTCATAGGAACCCCAACCACCGCCACTGTATGGATCACCATATGCTCCACCGGGATATCTCATCTCAGGGCTTCCATTCATCATGCCATAGGCTCCTACACCTAGATGAAATAGAGAAAATATAAACTAAGTTGTTTCCACGGCTCAAAAGTTTACATCATAAAATCAGATAAGAAAGGAGATAGAGAACTTACCAAGGCCTCGTCCAACTTTATCTGCTCGCAGCTTTTCAATTTCACGAGCCATTGAAATGAGATTCTTCTCCATAGATTGATTTTGTTCCACCAGTTCTGTATTAGCTTTCTTCTCATATTCAAATTGCCTCCTACAATTTCATCATCAAATTGAATAGTCAAAAAGAGAAGTTATCACAAGTTGGCCATCACATACATTATAACAAATGAGGCTTTTGACACCGGAGGACCATTATAACAAAGTATTTCATGTTTATTCATCTTTTCTTAGGGGGGGGGGAAGTTTTAACTTCATACCTTGCTTCCGCCAATTCTTTCTGCAATTTAGCAATATCAGTCTTCATAGCTGATAGTTGCTTATTCTCAGTTTGTAGTCGATTAGTATCATTAGTAAGAGTTTGAACTTGGGCAGATAGCTCTTTCTGTAAAGAAATTAGCTTCTGAGATTCAGCTCTCAATTGGATTACCTCTAACCTCAGAGGCTCCGTAGATCGAAGATCAGCCTCTAACTTCATTCCTCTTTCAATATACTCTCGTAACTGTGCCTCATTGTCAGCACGCATTTTGGGAATGACCTGACTTAATCTATGTATATCATCTTTTACAGCAGATAATTCCCTTTCAAGCATGACATTCTCATCAATCACCTGTCTGTTTTCAGCAATAAATCTCTGCATGTCCCTATGCTGGAGCTCTAGTTCCTCCTCAAGGACTGATGGATGAGGAGGGAGGGGTCCTGGTCCTCGCTGCATAATAACCCGTGGTGGTGGCCCATCACGGAATCCTCTGAAGTTGTCAGGTTGACGAGGCATACGATTTCTACCGGCCATAACTACAACGAATCAACAAAGAAAATAAATTAAGTTCGTAAAAAGTTGAGAGAAAGAGAACTCATAGGAAAAAACACCCTAACAGTAAAGGAGTGATAAAGCATAGACTTACTAACACTATACATGACAAGAAAAATTGATTTATGCCCAGTAAATCCATAACAGATGCCTTCCTTTTACTAAAAATAATGATGAAAAGCTATAGGAAGCAAAGAACATCTATACATAATAATTTAGTGACTCAGAGAGGTATACAATAGTGTCAAGAAGAGTCTTTTGGTGGCAATAGAGAAGAAAGGAATCCATATCGAATATAAATGTCATAAGACATATGCAAGAAGCAGATTGTCACAAGTGTGAAAAAAGTAATAGGGAATACAATGGAGTTCCTCATAACTGTGGGTTCAGACCGAATATTCTATTAAACCTGTACTTCTTTACCTTACAAATGAATGAGCTACCAAACAATAGAGAATAAGGTCTCATGGTGTATATTATTTGTGGATAATATTGTGTTGGTTCACAAGATTAGTCAGTGTGTCAACTAAAAGCTTGAATTATGTAACACAATGTAAAAAATAATGGTTTTCTGATAAACAGAAGTGAAACAGAACATATGTACTGCAAATCTAACTAGCGTAAGAAGAGAAAGATTGAGGAGAGATTAGACGGATTCAAATGCCTAAATGAAGAAAATTCAAATATCTAGATTCAATCAGGAGGATGACATGAGAGAAGAAGATGTAACACATAAACAAAATAAGAATGGTTGAAATGGAGTACTACAGGAATGTTGCACTATAGAGAATGACTACCTACCTAGGTGAAAGGCAAATTCAATAGAACGGTTGTAAGACCAACAGTGTCATACAACAATGAACATAGGGCCTTTAAGGTCCAGCATATCCATAACACAAGTGTCGCACAAATAGATATGTTAAGATGGATCTGAAGTCAATCAATTATCACATCTAAAAGAAGGTACAACCAGCACATATAGAAGAAAAAAATGAGAGGGGGTACATGGAAAATCACAAGTAGATAGGTCCATAGTTTTGTCCTGCATGGACCTTTGAAGGCACCGGTTCGTGAACTCATGGTCTCTCCGTAAAATTAGATATTTTATGCATATAATTTCTAAAAAACTTTCTAAGGTAGACAAGAATACTGCAACTTAGTATCTCAAACCGCCTCATGTATTTGTCCTTACGTCGTAATGGACAACAAACAGCAAGTGCTGCAGATTAAAGCAGTTCAGTCATCAAGTATAGGAATCTTGAGGTACTGTGACATGGAGTAGAGTCAAGGTCCCTTAAAAGAAAGCCATTCATTTAGATGCCACCCTCTGTAATTATGTCAACAACCACTTAATTATTTGTCGCTACACAAACCGACACACATGATTCTTAAGAAATGCCAGATTTTCATAAGACATGACTGGAGAACTACTTATAGAATTTGCCTCATAAACATTGACCTTTGATCAAAAGGCAAGGGTGCGAGGCAAAGACCAGCATTTCAACCATTCTGACAAAACAATAGCGGTGTTATAATTAAACAGAACTCACTGAACTACTACCTAGATTCCTAATTTCTAGTATCAATTATTCATCCACTAAAATCCATTATCCACCACAGTTCACTATACTATTTTTCTTTCTGTCTAGCACATGCACGTGCACGAGTAGAGAGAGAGACTTAAATGTTTTTATATTCTGAGAAACAACCTCTCTACCTTCACAAGGAAGAGGTAAGGTTGTGTACACACTACGCTCCCCAAACCTCACTTGTGGGATTACCCTGGGTATTATGTTGTTGTTGTTGTTGAAGATTTTGATAGAACCTTAAGTTGTATACTTCTCGCTGGTAAAATGAATCAGTGGGAATTACACAGATCCAGAGCCTAGACAACAATTTTGCATGCGATATGATTTTGAAAACTAAATCGAACTCTATTTCTGGATATTTAGAGAAAAAACTTTCACATAGTCCAAGCATGTAATTACTAGGAGTTATACTCAAATGAATGGATTCCAACCAAGGAATGAGCTAATATGCAGTTCAAGTCTACACCTTTTTTACTATTTTGCTAATTAGAATAAGATAAGACTCTGGTAATACTCCGCCGTATATTTCATACAGGAAAACGCAAAAACTTCGTATTACCAAATCCCTACACAAGCACAGATGCTAATCAAGTTCCTCAGACAACTAATTCTACAAATTTGCAAGCAAATTTTGCCACTCTCATACTCAGTGAAATTAACTAATTAATCGAACATATTAGTTTCAATCGTAACAAAAAACAAATTAGTTCGTGTTCATGAGTCCTTCCACACAAAAGAAAAGCTTAATTATACTAGTAAATTCCTAAACTTCATCACATCTACAAAAACTAAGTTATAATTCTAAAAATATGTATAGAACAAACCGATAATCTCATTATCCGCCGCCACAACCACCACCAGCAAAAAAAATAAAAAATCCGGCACGCGATGTAAAAGAGGTAAATATATATGCAGAATTTCAATACAAAAAGTAAAACAGATTATAAAATTCAATCTGACGGAGAGAGAAATTACCGGTAACTAAGAGATACAGCTACTTCTTCGACGACGATGAAGCTACGGTGGAGAACGGCGAAGATACACAAGCTAAAACGACACTATGTGCCGTAAAAAGTGCCTCTTTAATTTTGGACTTTGTTAATGGGCCGAACGAATAATAATTACCGGGTTACATGCACGACCCATTCATTTTGGGACTCTTATTTAACGTATAGTCAAAGTGTATATACTTTTATAAGTTTAGTCACTTCATAATCAACTTCTAATATCTAGCGGAATTTGCAAAAATTGGGCATATTGTTTTCTGAAATCAAGTTTTTAGATATTTTTATTGAAAATTTAGAACTCATTTCCACGTCACTAATGCTGGAGTTATCGAAGCCAAGGTTGTCTGAGGCTAGTAATGGAAATTTACTTCAAATATTTTTTATTACTTTCGTTGAATTGTTTAGTGTAGGAAGGAAGATAAAAGAAAACATATAAAAATATTGGAGCATGTTAGTGTGAAGGAGCTCTCAAGAAATAAAATGGAAGAATAAAAGAGTAACATTAACAACTCGTGTTGGGAATCCATGGTCCCAATAGTGTAAAATAGAAATAGTATAAGGTCTCTATCCCTTGCATTATTTGTTTTCCTAACTTTTTAGATATTTTGGTATGATTTACCTACTAATTTGTACGTACAACATGTTTGTTGCAAGATAGTAATTTTTTTTAGCTCATGAAAGAACATCATAGTCTACAATGAACACGTGAGAAAAAGTATTTTTAAACATTTCTCTATTAAGTTTTCACTTTCCCCTATTTTATTTCCTTTAGTAACTAACTATAGTAGATGAACCATAGAAATAACTATTGACCATAAAAGTACTAGTCCACCCATAAAAGATTCACATTTTCTTCTAAACAATATTAAACTAGGATTTAGATCGTGATATAAAAGGTTCATTTGATATATGTCAAGATTGTCGTAACTTAATCAGAAGATTGATAAAAATTAGATACATATAATCTTAACTTAATAATGTGTCAGATACATGTGTAAATCTCCAATACATGCATGTATATATTTTGTCAAATATATACACTTAATCATATACATACAGTCATACACTAATAAAAACTGAATACATATAATTTAACTCAACAATGAGTCAAATACATCAATAATGTGTCATATACATTAATAATGTGTCAGACACATGCGTAAATCTCCGCTTATTATTTCCACTAACAACTACTTTTTTTAGAGCAACAATAAGCCTCGAAGTAAGAGAAACAACAAACAAACTAATATTGGATTTTTTCAATTACGTTCACGGCTGATCCGACATCTAACCACGATGATGTTTGTTTCACCTTTTGATTTGTTGTTGTGAGCAACAGTGTTGTGTGGTTGTGACTTACCGTTAACATCACCGGAGTCGAAGGGAAGAATGAGCTAGCGATGGTGATTCTCCGTCGGAGACAGGAGTGCTAAGTGGTGGATGACGGTGGGGGATTGGTTAATCCAGGATTCATCGAAGAAGAAACAAAGGAGAGGGCGAAGAGAGAGTGAATTTGAGAGAATTTAGGGAGAGAGTGAGTTGATTTGGAGTGAATGCATAAATTATGGAGAGAATAAAGTGGACAGATAATTAAGGGCTTTATTTTAGGCTAATTTTTAAAAAATATGTATCTTAATGTATCTAACTTAAAATATAGTACAAAATTCCTAATTAATAAAAATATATGTAATTATTTGAAAGTATAGATAGAATTAGTATAAACGATATGACTGTTTGTTTGACAAGGTAGTTTTTTATTAGGGAAACTTATATAAATCTCACTAGTTTAGGAGTTAATTACTTAGATACACTCTAGTTTGCAATATTACGTCTTACCATATTTTGGTGCCTCTAGATCAGTGTATCTTGGATACATAGGGTCAAATTTATGTGTAATTTGTTCTAGATACATTGTATCCTAGTGGATTCACATGTATATGATATACATAGCGAATTTCGCTCACCTCTCTCCCATCTCACTCGTCCCTCTCCCATACATCTAGTATCCCATATACATTTGAATCACACTCGCCTCCCTCCCCTATCTCGCTTGCCTCTCTCCCTATTTTTGTGTATCTGGTAGTAAAAATACAAATATCTTAGTGTAAGATATGTACGAACTCTTAATTAGTGATAAAATATGTAATATTTTGAAAGTATAAGTAATAACAGTATATATAATAGTGAAGTATGTCTAATTACGTAGTTTTTCTTTTTTTATTATAAAATATAAGAGAATATAATTTGGGCTTTTATCCAAAAACATTCTGGGCTTATCTAATTTCCAATATGGGTTTAAGTACTTTTTGAGTCATCCAGATAGCAACATATGTGAAGCCCATCATGTGCATCACAAGAAAACATACACTAATTATGGTCCCAAAGGGACCACATTTTTCTAGGAATTTCTCAAAATGGGCCCACATTGTCTGGACTCATTTCCAGCATGGGTAACTAGGCCCATTAATGTAACATGAGCTCTTGGATTTTATTTTTTAAAATAAAATAAAATATTGTAATAAAAATAATAATTGGGAAAAAATAAATCTATGATGGTAACTTATCAATTGCACTTTTTAGGGGCTACATGGTCTATAAATTTTTATATTTCTAAGATATTAATGTATGAGTTGTACTTGTTCTTACATTCCACAGATTTTTTTGAAAAAAATCAAAAATATTGTACCTATAAGTATCTTAATATAGATCCTCTCTGATATTTTTGTTCTAATAAAAGATATTTTTTCATTCTAAAAAGTATGACAACAATAACAACAAGCACAATGTAGTCTTACTTGGTGGGTTTGGTGAGAGAAGAGTGTACGCAGATAGATCCTCGACTCAAGGAAAGGAAAGGAAAGTAATTCAAAGCAACTATAGAAAAATAAAATGTGAAAATAAAGAAATCATGACACATAGTGTGACAAGCATTATATATAACCAGTGGCGTAACCAGAAATTTCATGAAGGGTGTCCAAGAATTGTACACGAGTACATTTTTTCTTTTGGATGAATGAGTGCACTAGAAATTTTAAAATTAAACTACGTAGTATACATAAAAAAATTTGAAAGAAAGTACGTGATATACATGAAAAAATTTGAATGAGAGCACTAGAAATTTTAAATATACATGAAAAAATTGAAAAAAAAAAGGCTTACAGCTACTACTAGTGAGATTTGAACTCACAAACGCTTAAAGACTTTGCTCTTTCAAGGCACCTTAAATCACTAGGCTACAACACCTTGTTATGTTAAGAGTGTCTAGAATACGTTATTTAACCACTTTGTATATCATTTTACTTGTATATACGATATAATTTTCTGACGAAGGGTATCCCATTGGACACCCTAAAGACTAGGTAGCTACGTCCCTGTATATAACATTCCGAAGTAAAGAACAATAACAACAACTAAATAGTACGACAACCGAGAGATATAGAGAGTATGACAATATTGTTACTATTATGAGAAACTTATCCCATTATCATTTGAGTCTTTAATCTTATCCCATTATGATCTATTCATGAGAACAATTGTAATCGAATTAATTTGTTCCTAACTCTTTTTTTTTTACTTCGATCGTAGCTAGGCATTGCATGTGTTTGCCTTATCCATTTTTCACTTTGACAAACAATTAATTAAAGAAAGTAAACATTATATGTATGTGACGTTCATGACGGAAAGCAAACCTAATACACATTATATTTTAGGAAATCTCATATCAAAATGAAAAAAGAAAGTTAGGTACCTCATGAGGATCAAATTCATAATACAGGCTAAATTCAAAATGGATAATATCTTAACAGTCAAACCAAAACCGTGCATGTGAGAATTCTATAGCATCGCAATAACAATTTTTAAAAAAAGTCATTATCAAAGCCGTGACACTTGACATGCTTTTCTATAATAGATTTACAACTTTATATATATTTAGAGGGACAAATTTACACATCACACTTATCCACTTTCATGTTCTTTTTTTTTCTCCAAACCATTATATTATTTTAATTTCATATTTAATTTGTTAATGATATGAATTTTAGACATAATTCAACCTTAAAAGTTGACTTGTGAGTAAAGTTTAGTCCAAAATCATATAAAGAATACAAATTATTCTTTATCCTACCGATGTAGAACTCAATATTAAACAAAATAAGGCACGAGAGATAAAATGTGTGTTTGACACGTCGAAAATCATTCATATTTATTTTTTCCCAACATTGTTTGATTTTATCATTTAATCTCAAATTATTTAATGGAAGAAGACACAACGGATAACGTATTTGATGTGATTGAAGTTACTTTCCATGAAAAGTCAATTTCTTATATGACTAATCGATTTTATGTTTGCATTTCCCAATATTGTTTTGTGTTTTAATTCGTATTAAATTGAAGAAAACACAATATATAAATATAATTTGGCGTGATGAAAGTAATTTTTTTTGAAATGTTTCTTTTACAAAAGTCATTTTCTTGTGTAACGATCGATCGATTTCATGTTTTATTTTCCAAGCATGATTATCTTATAATGTAATATATCAAATTGGTGACATACATAGACAAATATAGAAGAGGACATAACAGTCGATTCACCATCATCTTTTATTCCCCTATGGTAACCTAATTATACGTTGTTTCATTTTTATCCTGTATTTATATTGTTTGTCCATTTCAAACTGATTATTTTTATCGACTCAAATTTTATTTTTTGAGTTGTGACTTTATGTAACGTTGATTTCTGAGATGTATGATCACTCAATTAATAATTAAAATTTTAGAAATATTTTTTTTTATTGAAGAAAATTAGAAGCAAGAAATTCTTTCGGAAAGAGTTTCCTTGATCAATATTACTATCCTATACTACCCTATTTTTTCATTTTATTATTACCTGTTATTTCATTTGGCTCGGTTATCATATTGTCACTATAGTAAAAGCAATTTTTAGTGGCAATAAATATACACATTAATAAAGAGAGATATTTGTTTTTTATCATCATTAGTTAATTGTCATTGATTCATTATCGCTATAAGCTTTAGAGATGTTTACAAAGAAAATCAATTGTCGCTAAAAATGCATATTTAGCGGTAATTAAGTTATTGTCATTAAAAATCATTTTTGATATAATGTGTTTGTTGTTAAAATATTATTTCTTTCTCAATTATTTATTACTTGTCTTCTTTACTACTATATTATCTTTTTATACTGATTTTGATAAGCTTAGCTTAAGTTGATATTCCATCAAAAACAATTTTTCTATCTTCACAAAATAGAAATAAAATTGCATTGACAATACCTTTTCCGGACTTTACTTATCAAACTACACTAATATGTTGCCGTTACACAATAGACATGTTCCCTAAAAATTTAAGTAGCACAATCGATTGTTCATCTAAAATTTCACCTTGTTAATAAGATTTCGATTCTCATAAATTTACTAGGTGGTGGGGCCCAAGGAAGAGAAGATAAGGGTCATATGGATGTGTGAAGGAAATTAAAAGTACAAAAATTAAGATGACATTTCCTTTAGCTTTGCAAATTGAATGAGAGACAATGGCTGCTTCTACATCCATTTCTCTCTCCTTCCTTGTAATTAACCCTAAATCACCTCTTTTTCCTCCACAAAATCTATCAATTTCACAAATTTCACCCTCTAGAAACCTCCATCCTCACAAAATTCACCGCCCAAATCTACCAATTCCATCCAAAATAATCCCAAATCGGAGAATCTCCGCTATTTCAGAGTTATCAGAAGTGAATCTCGATGAAACTGCCGATCAAATTGTTTCATCCACCGGTGGCGACGGAGTTTCCACCGTCATTCAATCGCTTTTGGTCATTGCTTTCGTCGGATTATCCATTCTAACCGTCGGAGTAATCTACATTGCTGTTACGGATTTTTTGCAGAAGAGAGAGAAGGAGAAATTCGAGAAAGAAGAAGCGGCGAAGAAGAAGAAGGGCGGCCGGAAGGGGAAAATTGTAGCGAGAGCTAGAGGTGGACCTCGAGGATTCGGGCAGAAGGTTGAGGAAGCTGAAGATGATTAGGAATGACAATGAGGCGGGCTCGGAGAGGTTATGGTGCGGGTTTAGTTTGAACCCCAAACCCGCACAAACTTCAACCTGCCCGGCTCAATTTTTCTTTGTTAGATTGTAATTTGTATTTTTTTTACACTACTACTAAGTAGTAAAATTTATTGGTGAAATAAAAAGAAAAGTTACTGCATTGTATTGGGTCTACTTTTGATTACTACATAATACATATAGAGTATATGTACAATCTTTTGAGTTGATAATATTTACGTGTATTTTCTATTCATATTCATAATAAATAGAGCACAAAGAGAAAGACTATAGGTTACCATTTAAAATAATAATAATAATAATAATAATATATTACTTCCTTCAATTCAATTTATATAGGGAGTTTAATTGAATATATGGTTCTTGATTTAAAGTGTATGAATAAGGTAGTTAATTATGATATGTTATTTAGTTCGTTTTCTACTTGACGAAATCATTGTTACTATGTTTCATATTATTTAGGCTTTGTTTATTTGACAAATTAAATGTGTAGTTTATTAAACTAGTCTTATTAATGATATTTTGATAATAAGTGTAGTATGAAAAGATGTTTTGATAATAAGTTTAGTATGAAAAGATGTTTTGATAATAAGTGTAGTATGAAAAGGAGCAATAACATTCTCTTGATTTACTAAAATAAATAAGAAGGGGTGTAAACAATTACCTATGGTTATAAACCCAAAACAATTTTCCTTCACAAACATGAGTGGTAGTGTAATAGTGGTACTACTTCACTTTTAATTAGAAGTCTCGAGTTTAAGTCTTGAATATGAAAAACTTTTGCTGAAAGTGTCACCCCAACACGGTTATGCAATGGGCGATATGAATTTACGAGAAATTTTAATGCCGACATTAAACATCTGTCACTTCCATTGCCTCTCTCCTTTCTGTGTGCTCTCTTCCGTTCGTCTCTGCTTTCTCTCTCAATCTCACTTGCCTCTTTCTTTCTAACATGTACATTGAATCGTAATTAAGTAAAATATAGTTATTTCACCTGATTATATTTCTAGTATTAGCTATTTTTGAAAATTTCTTTTTTTTACCCTGATCATATGCATGACACGTTGCCACGTCCCTTTTTTTCCCCTCACTTTGATAAACAATTAGAGAGCATAAACATCATAGAGAAAGTGCATGTAAGAATACTACTCCCTCCGTCCTCAATTGTTTGGCAGATATACTAAAAATAGATGTCTAAGATTAATTGTCAATTTAAACAATCAAAAAATAATTAGTCACTTTTTTCCAATCCTGCCCTTAATGATTGTGTAGTTCAATTGAAAAGTTATGTGGACTTTTGATATTCTTGATATAGTAGAGTTATATTAGTCAAATTACACCTTGTATACCCTGACAAACAATTGTGGATGGAGGGAGTACAAGTTAAGAACAATAAAGTTGTCAGTATCATAACCGTGACACTTTGACATGCCTGTCTATGATCGATTTACTTCTTTTTTTAATTTGGAGTTCGATAATTGAGATTCGATTAAATTCGTATTTATATATTGTTGAGCTCATTTTCAAGAATAATGCTTTTAATAAGATTACATTTTCAAAACTTCAGAATCAAGACATCTAATTAAGAACAAAAAAAAAATCTCAACCCTCACATCTATGATAATCCCCTCGGAGATTATTTTTTTCCCTTAATGCAAGTATTAAGAATTATAATTATATAATTCCACATCATATTTATCCACTTTCAGATTCGTTTTTTTCCTTTATCTAAACATTATTTTATCTTTTAATTCCTTAATAAATTGAAGAAGACACAACAGATAAATATGCGCCTGACATGATGGAAATTATTTTCACGATTTTTCTTCAACAAAAAGTGTTTTCTGGTGTGACTTATGGGTTTCATTTTGTTTTTTCTCAAAATTATTTCATCTTTTAATTTTCATATTTATTATAATTAAATGAAAAAAAATAATTTTGAATTTGACTCAATTTTAAAAGCTAACTTCTGAGAAGAAGATTATTCAAATAATTCTCTATATCTCAATTCTCAACAATGCGGGACTCAACATTTTTACTCATTTATACTACTTCGAATGAAAAATATATAATAACAATGTATACTACTTCCTTTTATTTAGATTTTAAAATTTATGAGTTATATAATTATGATATGTTATTTATTTGATTTTTTATGCTACGAAATCAAAATTACTATAAATAATTAGTTAATTACCAATGATTATAAACCACCTTTTATGTAACTGTTGAAACTAGCAACATCATCAAAACTTCAAAAGGCAATTATTAATTATTATTTTTAAAAAACAATAATTGTATTATCACTTTCCCTTTTTAAGTTTATAGACCAAATATTTAGGGGCAGAGGGGGGCAAAAAAGTAGAAGGGGACCGCAACAAAGTGTTTTTCAACTATATAATATAATTTCATTTTATAATAAAAGGTATTTTAAAACAAATGGAAAATTATATTAGTAAAAAAATTATTTGGCTTTTCAAAATTTAATAGAGTCACAAATATAACGTGAAACAAAATGAAGTTTCAATTTGTAAATTCCAGAATACAATTATGAAAAACAATAGACTTAACAATTAGTACTTTTTATATAATTTTTAAAGTATGTACTATTATATCCAAATTTAAAAAATCAATATATGAAATATGAAATATGAAAAATATTAAATATCTAATTACCTTCTTCTCAAAATATACATTCCTCTTAAAATATCTACACTTGTACTTCAAATATCATCATCTTAGAGAGCATATAACTCAAAGCATACCACCACCAAAATAATGTAGTTATAAGTATATATCTCTCCATTTTTAATCAGAGCTAAGAAGTTTTGGATTCATGTCATAAAATAAATAAACTCCTACTAATAAAATATTTTTCCTTTAAATGAGTCTTGCACATTGTAAATTCAAATTAGTCGAGCAGACTTTACAAAAATAGCCAGTCAAGTATATAGTTTGCTTTTTTCTATCTGTTATACATAACTTATACTCCTTTCATATCACTTTATGTGACACAAATCGTATTTCGAGATTCAAATAAATTTTCTTTAACACTATATTTTTTAAAATATCTTGAATTATGAATTATTGTGACCTGTACTACTTTTACTTAGCTTTTAAATATGTAAATTTTATTTCAAAAAACTCGCAGATTCCATGCCTGAGTATCACTTTCGAAATTCGAATGATCCATATATACCAAAGAGTGTATATTAATTATACACGATCATTCACATATTATATGTACTCATAGACTATTTTTAGTTTAATCAGTTAAATGAACACCTCCTTAGATTGCTTTATCTAAATTTCAAATACTAGATATTTTGAAGAAAAAAAAACTCAATGCAAGACAATCTAACAAAAGTGTCACCTTCAAACTCTTGAGAGAATAGATATGGACATTAGGATAGAGAAATTGGATCAAATTTTCAACTAATTCTCATCCTCAACACAAGTGGGACCCTTTGAAATCCATTTGACTACAACTTCATCCAATCAAAAACAAGTATCAAGGATGATGTTTACAAATTAGCCAATTAAAATACAGATAAGGCCTTATTGTAGGCCCATAAGTATAGACTCCCATTTCTTGTAGAAAATACCAAAAACAAAAAAAATTAAAAGTTTTGTCCCCACAATTTTATTTTTATTATAAAATAAGAACTTTATAATTTGCTGTAAAAGTGCATTTTGTGGGTTCCTCAAATAATTGCACTTTTAGCACTGTCTTTTTGAGTTGCTCTAGAGCTTTTTTCAACAATTATACATAAAGATCCAACTCAACATATCTCCCCTTAGTTTTCCTCTTCCACCTACTCCTCAAAAGTATCAAAAAATTCATTGAGTAATACACGTATCAGAGGTGGATTCAGAATTTATTGATGATTTCCGAAAGAAAATTAGCAAGTGCAATGGGTGGAAAAACAACAAGAGCATGTGACAACTGTATTAAAAAAAGGGCACGTTGGTATTGTCCGGCCGATGATGCATTTTTATGTCAAAATTGTGACGCTTCCGTTCATTCGGCGAACCCTTTGGCGCATAGGCACGAAAGGGTTCGTCTTAAAACATCGTCACTGAAACAACCATCATCATCATCATCATCATCATCATCAGACGATTACTTTCTTGATTTGGAAAGTCCACTATCAATTTCATCAGTGTCAGTCCCATCGTGGCATCGCGGATTTACTAGAAAGGCGCGGACTCCTAGGCATGGGAGGAAGGCTAGTAAATCCGCGGGGGATGGAGATGTCATTCGAAGGAATCCTATTCATCTCGTCCCCGAGATATTAAGCGATGAAAATTCCCATGATGAGAATGAAGAGGAGCAACTTTTATATCGAGTGCCCATACTCGATCCTTTCGTGGCCCAACTCTACAGCTCGGGCACAAGAAATAATCATGAGATGGTGGAGAGTAACGTGACTGTAGCAGCAGATGCTGATTCAAAATTTAAACTCGAATCTAAAGAGATGATGTTGCAGGATAATATCTGTAACGTCGATCTGAATAGATTTCACGAGATGTTACCCTCGGAGATGGAGCTAGCGGAATTCGCAGCCGATGTTGAGAGTTTACTAGGTAAAGGACTTGATGATGAGTCATTTGATATGGAAGGATTAGGTCTATTAGGGGTTTGTAACAAGGAGGAAAATTCAATGGAATATTCAATGATCAGTCATGAAAAAGTCAAAATTGAAGATGAGGGAGAAATTGAAGTCGTTAGAAAAACAACTTCTGCTACTATTCATGATCATCAATATAATCATAATCATCATGATATTGATATTAATGAAGACACCTTTGAATTCAAATTCGATTGCGATTCACCGATGAATATTATCGGAGAAGATGAAGTAATTATGAAGGATGAAAATAAAAAGAAGATTTTATTAAATCTTGATTATGAAGGTGTATTAACAGCATGGGCTGACCAAAGGTCTCCTTGGACTAATGGTGAAAGGCCAGAATTGGACTCAAATGACTCATGGCCACATTGCATGGTAAGTTTTAATTTAATTATTTTATCTTATATTATAAGTTTTGCAATTAATGGATTTGATTAGAATATAATTAAAAGTATAATCCATTATATTTTTTGATAGTTATAATGCAATTTATATTATGGTCCCATTT